GCCTTCGAGCGTTTAGTTCCCGTATTGAAAATTCAGGAAGGAAGCAGGGAAGCCGGCGTGCGAGCGAGGCCTCGCTCGCTTCTTGCACAATTTACATGCAGGTTGAAACATTTCGTCGAGCGCCGCGGCGACATGGCCAGGGCAGCGCTGCATCTTTAGCGTACTACCCGCAAGAGCAACACTGTTCGGTCTCCTCCCATCACTGTCGTCGTCGTCTTATGCCCCCTGCAACCTTCCCTCTGCTACTGCCGCGCTGACGGGTCGGCCCCCCACGCGTCCTTGTCCTGCCCTTCGTTCTCGCCCCCATGTCCTCCTCAAGTCTGGGCATTCGCTCCTCGTCCTTGTTTGGTTGTCCTGTGGATCGTGCCACGCGAGCGTATCTCATGTAGCTTGCACATACAATAACAGCGCCTGCACTGTCATTGTCCTGGCAAGTTTGGGCCACTCCCCTTGTCACTTGATGCAAATGGGTCGCGTACGTCACCGGGTAATTTGTTGAGAGGGATGGTGGGGGGGGCCTCTTTGCGCCCTCTTGGCGCCAACTTGGAACGTTCTTGGGGCAAGCCGCCCAGCTTTGAGCTTTCTTGGCAGATGTTGGAGCCATTCGGAGGGTTCGAAAGCCCCTCGAAAACGATAAGGCGAAAAGGCAACATCCACTGATGTGTCAAAACAGTCGGTCGACCACCTGCGCCCAGAAGACAGGTGGGATTTGCTGGCACCCCAGCTGCCCATTATAATACCAATACGAAATGGTCGCGGGGCGGCCGCGCATGCTCCAAATGTGGAGGCAAAGTGCGTTTTGCATTGTTTTTTGAAAGAGATGGTGGGGGGCGGCCCTCATGGTGTCCTCATTGTTCCGGGTTGGCTGCCGGCCAGGTGGGGGAGGGGATGTTTGTTGTTATGGTACAGTGATCAAGACACCCTCCTGGATAGCACGACGTCTATATCTTTCCCACCCGCTCAACAAAAACGATTCAGGATGAAAAACCTGTACCTGGGAACGGGTCGCGACTTCCAGGGACCCCGTCCTGAAAAAATCAGGACGTCGCATGTCTGGGGTCTAAGAGTCTCTCTATGCCCATCGGGTTCTCCTTCTGTGGCACCACAGGGCGCCCTTGGTGTTCAGCCCAACCCTACAGTGGAGGCCCACGCCAAGAAACACCCTGCTTGCCTCAAGGGTGCCCTGGGCTTCTTGGGCTTCGATGATTTTGCGATGGAAAGCGTAACGTGCCCACACCAAAAATCAATGGATGTCCTGGGGTTTCAGGGTTATGTTTCTTGTGGACTGGCCTCCACTGTATCCTAATCCGGCTCCTGCCAAGCTCGGCCCTGCCACTCTTCGGAAAGGAGGGCACTTCGGATCAGAGAGAGAAGTCTGGAGCAGTGAAACTTCGACGAGTCAGAGCATTTCGGTCCGGCCACTACTCGGGAAAGATCGGGGGTTGCTACAGGTACCCCTGGCCCAAGGTGTACACAGCTTCCTTTCGCTCCATCTCGGAGCTCCCGGGGCCCCCCTATGGGCCTCGTGATGGGGTGCTCTGGAGGACGCAGGGGCCTCCTTGGGAATCCTGGACCAGGGGCACTTCTGGCAACTTCCGAAAGTAGAGCACCGTGATGGGCAGATGTCCCACCGCCACTGCCATAGGTAGGAGGAGGAGGAGGAGGAGGCGGAGGAGGAGGAGGAGGAGGAGGGGGAGGAGAAGGAGGAGGAGGAAAGGAGGAGGAGACAAGAGGAGGAGGAGGAGGAGGGGGAGGAGGAGGAGGAGGAGGAGGAGGAGGAGGAGGAGGAGGAGGAGGAGGCGGAGGAGGAGGACCTCCCAAGCCTCCTTTCTCCCCCCCGTCCTACCCATGGCGGCGGTGGCGGGCAACTGGCCCATCAGACCACTCGGGGCCGGAGGGGCCGACGGAGGGCAGGCGGAGACACTCGAGGGGGGGGCAGTGGCGGCGATGTAGCGGGCTGCGCGGCGCGGCGGCGGCGGTGCCAGCTGCCTCCCCACGGCTGCTGCGGTGCCCCGGCCGCCGCGCACGTTGGACTTGGCCCGTCCACGACCTGGATCGCACAGTGGCAACCCATAGGGGGAACGAAGAGTGGCATGAACATAAAAACTCGGAGGTCCGCGCGGATTTCTCGGACCCGCGCTGGAGCCCCCTGACGGCGCCTCCGGCGCCGCCCCTGGCGCGCTCCGCGCGCCAGGGAGGTCCAGCGCCGATCCGAGAAGCCGGACCTGCGTTTTTTTGTTGTTTATGTCATTCTTCGTTCCCCTTACCCATGCCAAGAAACACCCTGCTTGCTTCCAGGGTGCCCTGGGTTTCTTGGGTTTTGGTGGTCTTGCAATGGAGTACCTGACGTTTCCACACCAAGAATCAAGGGGCGTCCTGGGGCCTCAGGGGTTGGGTTTCTTGCGGAAGGTTTCTTGTCGTCGAGCTCCTAATGTAAGTCACGTGTGTTTCCGTTGTTCTTGGACCGCTAGGTTATATGCACATCAGCGGGTACCACCCACAAGCGCCCACGAGCGCCACATAGCGCCCACTAGCGCCCGCACCGACTAGCGCTCAATTGGCTCCCGATGGCGACCAGTGGCGCCCCATGGCGCAACGTGAGGGAGGAGCGCTATGTTTGGGCCATTTGGCGATGGCGACGGCGGACCTCCCAGCGCAGAGGCAAGCTCCATTCGGGAGAAGGAGAGGGGCAGGGCAGGAGTGTCAGAGCCCCGACGGCGTGGCGTCGGCAGCAGGGGGCCTGCTGCGCGAGACGGGCCTTCGACGCGGAGATGCCCACACCCATGTTCTGGCAACTCCTCCTCCTCCACCGCCTCCTCCGCCTCCTCCTCCTCCTCCTCCTCCTCCTCCTCCTCGTCCTCCTCCTCCCCCTTCTCCTCCTCCTCCTCCCCCTTCTCCTCCTCCTCCTCCTCCTCCGCCTCCTCCTCCGCCTCTTCCTCCTCCTCCTCCTCCTCCTCCTCCTCCCCCTCCTCCTCCCCCTCCTCCTCCCCCTCCTCCTCGAGCGGACCGCAGCCCCAGGGGCGCTGGAGTGAGAGCGGCGCAGGGTTGGAGCGCTGTTCTCTGCCAGCCTCCGCCGCCGCCTGCCGATCTGCTCCGCTCACGGCCCGTGCTATGTGCCGCTCTGCGCCTCCTTTTCCTCCTCCTCCTCCTCCTCTTCCTCCTCCTCCTCCTCCTCCCCTTCCCTCCTGTCTGGGGGATCGCGCGGGGGCCTCCAATGCAGCCCGCGCCAGTCAGCGCGAGGCAGGGCCCGACACAGTCGAGCTCTCTCACATCTTCTCCCCATCTCCCCCCCTCCTCTTGCGGCCGGCCCCAGGTAGAGGCGTTTGTGAAGGAATAGTCCCAGGAGGCGCCAGGCCCTGGAGGAGTCCTTATCCCATGAGGGCGGCGCTGATATCCTGGGCCGATCCACGATTGGAGTTCCACTGGCTTCCAGACCCTGGATTCCTTATCTAAGGGTTCCTCATCGATTGTGCATCCTGGGGGAGGGCACCCTCGAGTGATCTGGCGTCTTCGGGTGCTCTGGCTGGCGGGGGGTCTCGTGTCCTTGAAGGATGTGGTTCCGCCCTGGGTCCGGCCGTCTGCCGCTCTGCGCCGGTCCTTGATGATAAGTGCTGCGTCGCGGTGACCGTGCGGCTCTGAGATGAGAGGGGACGGCGGCGCCAAACAAGCGCATCGCTTGAGACTCTGCAGGGGACAACATACACAAACACACATAGACGTCGATCCCCTCGGAAATACCAGGGGGAATGTGGGAAGTGGTGGGGAAGACGGAACTCCAGAAGATATTGAACCCTAGAGGGAATCTTGGCATTTGTGTATGTTTGTTGGTCTGTCCCTGGGCCCCTTGAAAGACATGCCCGCAGTATGGGCACGAGCAGGCAAATGTAATGCCCGCCGGCGGCTCACCCCTTTGGGTGCCCGAGTGCCACGCCTGCGACGTCGCGGTGATCTTGGACAGAGAGAGGGGCCAGCGGCGCCCAACCAGCGCATCGATCGAGACATCCCCGCAATCTGGGCGCGGAGGGAGAAACTCAGATCCCCTGGCGCTGCTCATCCTGGGGGTGCTCATCGCTCCGCGGTGGTCGAGCTGCTCTGAGAGGAGGGTCGACGGCGCCGAGCACGCACACCTGCCCGACATCCCCACAGTGCTGGGCGCGCAGGGGAGAATGCAGTGCGCCATGGCGGCTCACCCTTCAGGGTGCCTTGCCGCGCCTGCGTCGTCGCGTTTGTCATGCTGCTCTCACAAGAGAGGAGTCGGCGGCGCCAAACAAGCGAACTGCCGGAGGCATCCCCAACACGGGCGCGAGCGGGACACTATGATGCGCTTTGGCGGCTGCCTTCCCTGCTGCATCGCGATGGTCATGAGCGAGTTGGAACACGAGGAGCGAGTGTGAGTGGGTCAGAGCATGAGTGGGATATTCGTAGTTTGTCAGTGCGAGCCAGAGTCTGAGTGAGTCCGAGCGTGACGGATTAGAGTGTGAGCGGTCTGTGTGTGTACGATCAGGGAGATGACTGAATTGAGTATGAGTGGATCTCGGTGTGGGTGGTGTGGGTATGGTTGGGTCTGTGTACCCGTGGATCGGAGTGTGGTCTGGGTATGAGCCTGGAATGTGGGTGTGAGAGTGAGGCTGAGTGTGACATGAGTGCGCGTGTGACCTCGGTATGAATAATTGTGAGTATGCGCCAATCAAAGTGAGAGGTTAAGTGTGACTGAGTCTGGGTATGCGTGAGTCTGTCAGCGAGTCAGGGTCTGAGTATGAGTGAGCCTGGGTCTGAGTAGGTCTGAGTGGCAGTGAGTCTGAGTATGAGTGAGTTTGAGTGTGGGAGGGAAGTAGACGGGAAGCATGAGGAAGAGGTGGAGGCTGGAGGTACGCGGAGCGCGTCGCACTATTAGCGAGAACCCCAAGTGGGGGAAATGGCGTCGAGGCCATCGCAAGCGGTTTTCGCAGATGGCACGTTGATGAGAAGGAGATGGGGATACGGATGCGGTTCCGTGACAGGTTCTTGTGCTTCTTCCTCTTGGTGTTGAACTTGGTTTTCTTTCTTGCTTGGGGGCGGATCATCAACGAGGCCAACCGGCTATGGGTCAAGTACCAGCGGGCTCGAGGCCAAGACTTGCCATGCATCTCGGCCTCCTCTTCGCCCTCCCGCTTAGATCCAGCCGCCTGCGGCAGATCCCGCCTCCGCGCCAGCGTAGCAGCACGGCAGCGCAGCCACCAGAACGTTGAGTTGAATGCCCGCTCCAATTCGGTGTTCTGTTCGGAATGGCGGAGATTTGGACGGCCACCTCCTAGTACACAGCCTAGTTATTATCTTCATTCCTCAATATCATGTCCTCTTCTTCCTTCTCCCACGTCCTCTCCTGCCAACCAACTGGTGACAGCATACAGTGGGGGCGCGAACCAAGAAACCAGATGCTTTGCGTCAGTGCATCTTGGGTTTTTTCGCTCCGCGCGTTCCGCGTTGGTTTCCCGCGGGCGTCAAGAAATTCTCGCGTTCAGGAAACCCGGGGCTTCTTTCCTTTGGAGCCCCTGGCCAAGAAACCCAGACCCTGGGCAAGCAGCTTCGTTGATTTTCAGGGTTGGGTTTCTTGCGACGTTTTCTTGTGGACGAGCCCCCAGTGTATTGGAGGTTTAGTGGGAGCCTCTTTTGGAGCCTCTTCGGGGCTTCTTGGGGCCCTCTTGGGGGCCTCTTGGAGACCTAGGGCCAGTTGGGAGCCCGTTTGTCGTATCAGGGCTGTTTGGGGCGAAGTTGGTCCGCAGACTTTTCTCGAATATGTTCGGTCGAACCACCTTCTTGAACACTTGTGGATTGTTCTCGGGCAGTCATGGGACGGCCGTCCAGGGGCTCTGTCGGGGTAGTTTGGGTCAGTCTTTGTAGCTTGTTGGGCTCTCTGAAGCTTTCGCGAGGCGATTTGGAGCCGAAAACCTTTGGAGGCAAACATTCATGGACTCCCATGTCTGCTGTTCAGTGGCGGCCGCCTCGGAGGGCCCCGCAGGAGGGCCAGTGAGGCGCCAGGGAGCAAACTAGGGGGGCCCTGATGCTAGCAGGGGGAGGTTGTCGTAGAAGCAAGGGAGAAACCCGAACTGACAGGTAACAAACATTATAGCAGGCCTCAGCGCCGCCCTGCTGGCACCGTGGTGGTTCCTGCACCTGGTCTTCGGAGTTTCCTCAATCATCCCTCCCGAGTTTCAACTTTCAGTGGTCATTCAATAGGCTGGTTGTCGATTCGTCCGCGTTCTTCTCATTCCCAGAATGCAGGCAAGAGCTGCAGCCGCAGATACGCACTCTCACCAGGAACATCGTGATCCATAGCGTGGTCTTCTCCCCCAGCGCGTGTGGCCCTATCCCACTCTTCGGTTCTCCGCGCAGCAGGAGGATGGGTCGCCTAAGCCCTCCGGAGAAACCCTCCATGAGTGCCTTCGCTTCCGGGGCGCGCCTTCCGAGCGAGTCATGCGCATCGATGACCTACCGTCTTTGAAGTGGGAAGCACGCTCTGTAACGCCATCTCATCGCAGCGGGTCCCCACGCATGGCCCTGAAACAATGCATCCACACTTACACACCCGTCGTTGGAAGTAGATCTTCTGGGATACCCAGATCCCAATCCACTTACAAACGCCTTCCTACTTCAATCAGCGATGTGATGCTTCTGTGCTTCCTTATTCTCTGAGGGCCTGAGCCCTGAGCCCAATCCATATGATCCGCCCCCCTACTTCATGTTTTTTATCTACTCCTTCCGACCGACGCGTAAGGCTCATGAGGACGAGGGCTCCATTCGACGGGGTGGCTCGGTGTGATCCGTTGAGCCCCCATGGGCGGCAGCTCGCAGCTCCGTTTTATGCGAGACGCGCTGGGCGGTGGCGCTGCTGCTCTTCCCTCCCTCGCCGGCGGCTTCCAGACGGAGCCCCGGGGAATTTGGGTCCCGAGGGCGAGGGAGCCTCGAGCAGCGGGGGATCAGCCCGTGACCCGCTTGCTGTCTTCCGGGCCCCACCCTTTGGTGTAATGTTCGAGGGCTTGTTGCCTCGGGGACGCAACAGGCGCGCAATTCGCAGGAGCTTTGGAAACTCGGGGGCGCGAATCTGGAAAAAATTGCCAGGGGATTATGGCCTCGGGGACGCGAGCCTCACGTATTTTCAGCGTTCCGTGCCACCCATGAATTCAGACGCGATCGGGGTGTGGTAACCGCCCTGCTGGGGAAGCCGACAAGGTGCCGATGTAGCCGCTGCCCCCCAGACCTCTCCCAGGGTGCGTCCCGACCAGAATTTCGGGGCAGGAGGCCGAAAAATGGGAACACAGGCGAAGGGTAGCGGCGTGGGTACAGTCGGACCGAGGCATAATATCGGTGGTCGGTTCGGGGAGGGTACCCTTTCTTCGTGTTTTGTTGGATGTTCTTGTGTATCCTGGAGAGGGTCCCGTGCGATGTTCTGTGTGTTTTTGCCGGCGGAGGGTTTGCATGCTTTTGAAGGGTGTTCCTATGTCCTAGGTCCGGCCGCGTGCA